AAATATAAAAAGATATATAGATCTTAATGCAATGTACGCAAGTAATTATTAAAAGCATTTTTAAAAGCGACTACGAGTGAGTAAATACGTCAATGTTATCTGGTTAAAAACACCGGAAATTATTCTGATTAAATCTAATTCCTGTGAACTTGTAATCATCTGCTTGTATTAAAATTAACGTAAAGATACATCGCGTTTATTTCTATAGATAATATGTACATAATTATTTATATAACGTATTATATAAAGAGAATAGAAAACTCGTACACAATATTATTCTATGTCTCAAGAAAAATACGTAAAATTAAAGATTTATTTTAGAAAATAATATCATAATCCATCTCTTTTTAACATTTTCGATATAGAAAGTATGTAAATCCTATATATATCGTTCAAAAAATACTTATTGTGGTCGTAGAGCATATAATGGAGCATATATACGCTATCTGAAAAACATTCATTCGGTTGTAAATCGCATATATTCACATCATTCTAACTTATGAATTTGACCCGCTGGGGACCCGCAATAGCAACTGTTTCTATCTATTAAAAAGATTAGTTTTATTTTGTAATTAATTGATAATATTTCTTAAATCAATTATCTAAGATAAATGATTCTAGCCTTCAGAAGTGCTAGAATCTTATCTTTTAAATAAAACTTTGCTGCAATTTTTTTGTACGAATGTATTGACAATACATTCTCTCTGTCGATTCTTGATCATCTCGAATAATCCCAATACATAGCGAAAACAATTACAGACGATACAATTCTCGCTTGACTTACTATCGCTGATCAGCTGCTTAGTGATATAATGACGTAATAGTTAATATACATACCGTATATACGCACACACACACAGACGCTCCGCGTTTATTCATAAATGGTGCACGCGCGTTGCATTTTTAAAACTCAGCAAAAAATTGATGTAGCGACATGCGCCAAGAACGGATCTTCTGTGCTTTGCATTCCGCAGATGCATATGTTCTTATCATTACGCTCATATATATGCATTTATATTAAGCATAAAACGATAAATTATAATATATAGAAAAATCTTATCTTTATAGAATTCTTGTTTATTCGTACGGTATTCATGTTTAGCTTGCGTTGATTTATTCATTCTATTAAAACAAATAATCTATTAATTAAGACAGAACGCTTAAGAAATGTAGATTACATGTTTTTCATTTAAAATATTACAATTTTTTGATTCACATGTAGTTTCAACAAATTATTGTCAAAATAATGCTTGATTTTGTCCGTAAAAATATATTTCTGTCTCAAAGTATATAATCATTTTGAAACATTGCACAAATATCAATATTATCAGAAATATTCCAGATCGATAATCTCGATCGGTCAATACAATATGGTATATATTTGTTTATGTGTGACGTGTGCGCAAAGACACTGAGAGAATGTTTGTTTTTAGAGATAATCCGCGACAAACCGACGAACAAAACGCACAAAAAGAATATAGTATTACGAGTTACATTATAAGTTACTAATTACAAGTGATCGCAAGCAAGTGCAGCATGCGATACAAGTTCTGAGAGACTGAGTTCTTGATAGAGCGCATTATAAAAAGATCAAGATCAGAATAAATACACAAACATTACATGTAAGAGAAAGAAACTTTTAACAGAATTTCACGCACTTGTATACTGCCGCGAATCGACTGTCCCTTTTTTCTCTTTAATAGCTGTTTTCTTTATTTCTTTTTGTATTTCTTTTCTGTAGTATATTGTATTCTTATTGCGAATATTATATTTCAGCATAAAATTTGGATATAAATTATTTTCATGTTTATCATTGCGTTGTAATTCATTTACATACAACGCACATAAAAAATTGTTAGATTTAGACATTCTGTAACACCTATAAAATATCTATCATTCCAATCTCAGTATTCATCAGCCATATTTTCACAATTGATCTTTTTACCTTTGCGAGAAACATGAAATCGGATCATTACTTGTTCCTACGTCGACAAGATCGTTACACTATGCATACAAATCGGATCATAAGATGCGTGTACCAGGTGCTGGTGTCGGTAGACCGCGTGCTGGTCTCTAGTTGCTCGGCGCGTACTCGTTTACGACCGCTTTAATCCGAGGACATCCAGTTTTTCTTTTTTCCCAGGCCGGATGACGATCCATCGATCATTCATCGTCAACTCGCGGTGCGTGCAATATCGGTTTTTCGCGACGCGCGCACGGTTCAGGTATCCAGGTATATCTGCACGACGTCTGTCGCGTCAATGTGATTCGACTCCGGGATAACTTTCCGCAAACTCCTCGAAGGTGTCACCCGACACTAAGCGGTGCACCGCTCCTCTGCAATGTTCAGATATCCACATGCGTTTGCCGACAACGAATTCTCGCTTCGCTCGATGCGAACGCACGGCGTGGGTCGCAGGTAGCTCGTCTCGGCTCTTTATCGCTAACCGGTTTTTATAATACGTATCGAGTAACGGATGTTCGCGCTCAAGTTTACATCGACTCCTAAGTAACTTATAATTTAACAAATATCATGAAGTGAATGATCTCCTTTCGCGTGTTGAAATATTAATGTAATCTGGGAAAGTCGGGTCATTTATTTTTCCAACTGACGCTGGATATCTGCCTCTCTTTTATAACATATCCATAAGTAAATTCGAATGATACGCAAATGATACAATTTTAGTTCTAACGTATGGCTGGCGTGCGAGGAATGATAAGCCGCTCCGAATGGCACGCGAAATTTCATCGGTCAAATCAAAGGTGAAAAATTTTTTATATGTGTATAAATACGAGTAAAGCGACAAAATCTTAGCTTTCTTTTTTTATTTAGTATTTAATCATAAAAAATTATTAAATCAATGTAGCACACATGATTGCAATTTATTTCAAAAGTTTAATGAACGAAAGAAACGAAGAATGAATGAAATTCGTAGAAGAGCTTTTGTCGTATCATAATGCAATTGTTAAATCGCGCTGCACTCTCTGCATGCCTCCCTTCGTCCAAGAGGTAGCCATGAGAGAAATCGCAGTGATGGCAATTAGCGCGCTCGTGACACAACGAGGGGACGAAGGGCTAATGCGTCGATATATCGACATGTATACGGTGTACGAATAATTATTGCTTTCGTCGATCGCTACCAGCGCGAGTCGGCACGCAGCGTGCCATGTAATATTACCTTGAACGCTACTTTAAAGGCTAAGACGCTGTCGAAGACAGTGGTGCTTAAACATATAAAATTTTAATTTTGGAAAATTTTTCTCTACGATGCGTTTGATTTCTCCAGAACCATCCATAAAAAATTAGTATTGATTAAAATTTATATTTTTGACAAATCAAAAATTTTGAAAAAACGCTTCATATAAATTATATTTGTTGCAATATAAATTATACAAGATATTCTCAAACTGATAACTTAACTATTTGCTAAATAGATTACTAGTTTTTGAAATAATAAAATACAAATTTTTTTTAACTCTTAAGCATCTAAATTTATTATATTTTATATAATTATTTTTATATGATTATATAATTTTTATATAATTATTTAATAAAGAAAGTAATCCACAGCATATGTCTTAATATAATTTTCATAGAATGGCAATTAGAGAGAGAAAGTAAAAATAACAGAAAATAAGGCTAAAAAGGTGTAATTTTTTTCTAATAAGGATTTTGTTGTAGCTAAATTTTCTATTATTTTATAAATAATTTATACAAAGATAAATAATTTATGAAATTTTGCTTGCAAAAATGCTGCTAGGCACCACTGCGCGACACCTCGCAGAAGTGATATAGTTGCCGCTGGAGTTTGCACGGTTGCGACTGGCGAGCAGCTTCGATGCGATCGCATCGAGTAACTCAACTCCGCCGCCTGGCTTCTTCTCTCAGGGACTAGGACTGAATTATGGCCCGTGGTCGCGGACACTCGCCAACACGCTTCGTCGTTTAACCCTTTGCCCGATCCAAAGTCCCGAAGCGCATTCTTGCCATTGCTGACTTTTCCCTCGAACTCGAAAGAATCTTACGATTTCTGAGAGGGAATGGTCGATGTGTATATGGTTATGCATCCGGCGAGGGACCGGTTTTTTCGCCTTCAAACGCGATGCAAATGTCGAGCATATTTTTAAATCGAGAATTCTTTTTCGTAAAATTGCACTTTACATCGATGTCGACATATCGGTTTTCATTTTTGAACATCGACACAAGAATAGAAATTATAATTTCAGGCATGCTCCACCTTGACACCGGAAACTGTAATGGAGCTACTTTATATTAGCTTTATCGCTGATCGAAATGCACGTCGTGTCTCGATCGAAGCGTACCGGAGATACGTTATTTACACGCACACGCGTCTGACCATCGTGCGACAGTTGGCCCTCGAAACATTGTCGACGCATCGAGGACACGCATTAACGCGACTCTCTCTCGACGCCATAATGCGCATCGCGCGCGGGGTTTTTCGTCCCGACACAATGCGTACTGGGGTTTCAACAATATGTTTGGGGCCACCGAAACGAGGCAATGGATGGATGGATGCCTGGAACAATCGCGGGGAGCGACGCACCTCTCGGGGTAGGGGTGTTTCACGGGGGTTTGTTTAGGTTTCCGGGCGCGAAAGGCACTCAACCCGCTAATCTATTTAACCGTAGTGTTTGATATGGAATTAATGAGGCCCGCCGGCATTATGCCCGGGCCCGTAGATTTTCGGTTTAGCCGTGGACATAAAAGGGGGAGACTTGATCGTTGCAGTTGCGTTCGTCTTTTCAGATTGAATAACGGGAATCGTCTTCAGCTCTTATGATCCGCCAGCTGCGTCATAACGCGTCATTGATGCCTTCAACTTTTCCAAAACGCCAATATATCTAATTCTTAACTAGCTTTATTTTTATAAACATTTTTTCTTCTGAATCTTCAGAATCAAATAATAAAATTTCCACATATTAGCGTTGCATTAATCGATCAAATTTTATTGAGAATTTTGCGATCTGTTTGTTCGCAGTGTCCTGTGACAGTGAGCGCGTCGTTAGCGCCGTCCTCGGTTTCACCGGCAACCGGTGTGATCTTGACTGCGGGAGGCCCTTCTCTGGTTAGCAGCGTAGCCGCCGGTACGACGACGAATCATCCCCTGGACGTGACTGGTCTGTCCCAAGCGAGGATGGCGGTGACGAGCGCGGTCGTGAGACCGCCCGGTAGTCCCACTACCTCGGTTAGCCCGTCCCAAGGTCATCCACCGCCATCAGCCGGTGGTCCCGCCGCGGCAAGATGCTGCGACACCGGTCGACCGATTTTCACGGATCCGCTGACAGGCCAGACCGTCTGCTCCTGCCAGTACGAACTGCTAGGCGGCTATCAGCGTCTAGGAGGCCTGCCCTCGGCCGCGCTCTCCATGTATAGCGCGCCGTACGCGGCTGCTGCCGCCGCCGCGGCATCCGAGGGCATGGCAGCGTATTTTCCCAGCTTGGGTGCCGAACAAGCGACCTTCTACACACCCACGGTAAGTTGAATAACTGTTAAATATTGCACGATAAAAAGAGTAGAAGTGAAAGCTCGTGAAATTAACACATATTTCAGCTATTTTAGTATTGCGTTTTTCTTTTTGCTTTCTGGTTGCGAACAAAGAATTTGTGAAATCTCACGTTTTGCATTACGACTATTAAAATGTATAAGTTATAATATTCTCGGTTCGCAGTGCGATAAGCTCGACAGCCTTTGAGTCGGCTGTAACAGTATTTTGTTGCGACAGAATATGGCACACTTGGTGTCTATAATTTTTTCGCGGTAGGAAGTGGTATATCGACAAATCAGAGAGAGATAATATTGGCGGTGTGACAAAAATAATTCGCGGAACAAAGGATTTTACGATACCGTTGACGATAACACACCCGGAAATTCTGAATTCCGTATTCTCGAGTTAGCGACATTCGCTAACGTTGCTTGAATATATTGGCTAGAGCGAAATTACCGTTAGTGCATGTATTTCACGATGTAGTACTTTTTATGACTAGTCTCATTCGTTCTCTGTAATATAGATAGATTTTAAGTGGCAATTCCAATGTAGCAGTGCTAGCAACGCTCAAGATAATTGTGTAATCAAAAGTTTTTCATTATACATCTTATTTCCTCATAGATAACAATACAACAAATTAATTTCATTTATGTATATCCAACTGTATAATTAATAGCACGCTATCGTCGAAATGCTCAACAGTGCATTAAAATAAAGATAAATAAATTTATAACGCGTTACATATTATAGTATATTTGCCACGTAAAGAAAAAAGTAATGTCTGATCCAAGTGCAGTGTTTATGAATTATGGAGCGCACGAACCTTTTTGAGCAAAATAATATCAAATAAGTTCCGTAAGTAACTAATTCATTATATATATATTTATATTTCTACATTTGTATCATTGGTGCAAAAGTTATATTTTTATCTACAAAATTGGTATTTATATTCGGAATAATAAGAGTTGTAAATAGCTTTCTTAAAGTTTTCAAACTCTCTCTTCTCTATTTCAAATACTACTCACTTCCGACGTAAAGTGCTAAAGGTTAATGTCTGAACGAAGTCGAATCCATTGGAACCTCGGGATGTGAGGCTTCTCCGCGCTGTACTTCCGCATTCCTACATACTATCTCGATCTCAGATCTCGTCGAAACATTCAACATAGTCCTCCGATATCGATAAACGCTCGCCGAGTTGGCAATAGTAGCGGCGTTATATTTCCCCGTAAAAATTTTTATCATGCGGATTAAATCCAGAACTTCTATATTTCTGTATCACCGTGCGCGGATTAAATTTTGATACAAACTTTTATATTCACGACTCGGCGGAACGTTGCGAAGTGACGTGTTTATTTAGGAGATTAACGAAGTTTGCCAAATGCGATTTTGCACGGAGTCACGCCGATTTTTCCAACATGACGCAACCGAGTGCAGTCTGCGACTTTCGTTTCATCGCACGTGTGGAAAACGCACGCTTTCCACCGCGTTTCCCTCGTGCTGTGATTCGCGATATCGAGATGTTATCGCAGCAAGGACTCGCGATATTAATATAGACTCCAGAAGAAGCGCGTTAGCATGTTTCGCTCGTTCGCCAGGCGAGCGTTATCGGGCCACACGCGAAGCGTACATGAAGAAAGCAGCGGTGAAGCGTAAATTTATGAATCTTCCTGTAACAGTGGGACACTGTGGTGCGTTGCCGTTGTCGCTAAGACCGAGCTGTTATCATCGCTCTTTATGATCGAGCTTAAGGGGCGAGTTATATAGTGTGGCCAGCTCGTAACGAGACAGCAGATTGTACACGTTGCGCACAGAGTTCCATGGACAACGTCCGACCGTATAAAGTCATACCACAGTATCGCTTTTTAGTGAAAACGTTTATTTTCCCCGCTCTTCGACATCCGCTGCTCGATATAATTGCTCCGGCCGTGATATTGTAAATTTGCATCGCTGTCAGTTTTGTAGAACATTTATCGCGAAAAAATATCTTATTTATTCAGTTTATCTCGTCTCATTATATTTCGGATGTGATATGTTACATATATTCGAATGATAAGATATTATATTGTAATACACTGTTTAATAAAAAAATCCTCCGATAAAATAATTTTAGATTCGTGAAATTTGATATATAAATATTTGATCAGATACGGAAAATCACAGATTTTCTTAAATAAGTGATTCTTGAGACCGATTTTGTTAGCATTTTTTAAATTTCTGCATCAACATAACGCATGCAAAGCTTTCTAAGTGGAGAGGTTTGTTTTGAAAGATGTCAATTTTTTTTTGTAAACAGTGTTTCATTAAATATGATTTATATGTATAATTACGCATGCGAAAGAGAAAAACGGAGAATCTTTTATGAGCCTATTATCTCTAGATAAAATACGGTAGAAATTTAATAGCGACCATCCTGTCATATAACCGAGGTCGTGGGTTAAAGAAACAAACAAGAGAGCCACACACATCGATCCTAATTATTATTATCAGCGCTTTGCCAGCTATTCTTTCATCATAGTCGATACATCGGAAATCGGGTTGAGTTGAGCCGGCGATACGGGCTAATTGCGACGTTCGTCCCTAAAAATGGATTTTTCGAGCAATTAACCGCATTCTGCGCGATTTTATTTAAAAACCGTGATAATGAGTGACCGGCTTCGGCAAATGCATGTGCGCTCCAATGCGGAATAAATTTGTAGCGCGTGCAGAGATCTGCGCAGCGTTTAAAACTGCTGTGAAAATTATCGGCATGGCCGCTAATGGCTCTACACGTACACGTATTAATAGCTTTGAGAAAACTACGACAGCACAAAATTGTCCGTCCTTTTTCGACATAAAATGTCGCGTCGTTCCCACATAATAAATTAATGTGCGCAAAAATACTATAAAAGGTAATCCGTTTCGTGGTCGAGCAAAATATTTTTAATTGATTCCTTCGATATTTTAATATGCTAGAATATGACATTGCGCGCGCTACACGCATTAAAAAAGATGTACATTCTAAAATTCTAGGCCTATCAAATAATATTATCTATCAAATGATATTAATCAAATGATATTAATACAAGATTCTAAAGTATAAAAATAAATAAAATGTACATTTTAACATTAATGTACATTTTATTAATTTTTATGCTTTAGGATCTTATGTCATATCATTTGGTGGGCTTAGAACTTTACTACGATACATTAATCTTATATTTTAAAGAAAGATATAAGATAGAAACATACAAAAATGTATAAAATGTACATTTTTATTTTCTAGATCATTTTTTTATTTAAAACAGATTAAGATTAAGATTTTTCAATAGCATACTATAATCAACGCTGTTAATATATTACTATTACGATTATTTTCTTTTTGTTTCTTGTTACAATGTTAAGACATTGAAATCTTTATTTGCATTTCTTGCATTATTTCTAAATTCTCTACAACTCTAATGCTTTATTTCGGTATTTTATTATGAAATCGAAATTGTTGAGCATCTTATATGTATATTAATTTGAATTGTTGTAACGTATTTTGATATGTTTATCATACGATTTTCGATTATGTCAAATATGTTAAATTCTTGCTGGCTCATGTTTTCCATTTCTTTGCCCGATCACACTTATACATATTTTATGTCATATTGAATTTCAGTTGTAGCGCCAGATTAACTTAATATGTTAAATTCGCTTTTGAAATCAAATAAAGACCCGGGCTCGATTCACATTGTAATTTTTTTCTCTCTTCAATTTGATCTTGATAATTTCCATTGCAAATTGAATTGATCTCTCAAGTTAATTGATTTCTCTACAAACAACTGGCTGTTACAAGTGTGATATTAAAATTATATTATTATATTGAACAATATTGCAGAACTAAATATTATATATTCGTTTATATCTTGTTGCAGGCTGCCAGTCTGGACTTGAAAGATAATCTGGGAGCTGGTGCCGCAGCAGCATGGCCTTATCCTTCGGTATATCACCCCTACGATGCTGCTTTTGCGAGTTATCCCTTCAATGGGTAAGTTTTGCAAATATTTTTCGAATTATTGTATTTCATCATGCAATCGTATAGATCGAATAATCGTGTTAAAAGTTCAATGCTAAGCATCAATATTTACCATGCGTAAAACTCCAAACACATCTACATGTAAATTACTATCAAAGCAGCGGCTGTTTAATTAGATAACAAATCGTATCTCAATGTAAACTACGCGGATGTTTGTTTGATTATTATTGTTATACAATTGTCGAAAAATTTATTCGTTGATTTATATTGCTTGTGCTATTTCATACTAAATGTTATCTAATTTTAATTTGTAAAATATTTGGTGATTTTACAAGATTATCGGCTATGTTAATAAACAAAAATTTTTAACATTTTTTAATACATTTTTCTTTTAAAATATTATAACTGAGACGCAAATCGCACATACTTATAATAGTGTACATACCTTTTGAAATAGTCAGAAATTATAAACAAATCGAAGATGTCAAGAAAGTTTATTTGCGTAAAATTGTGAAAGCTGCTTAAGTATAGAATGACCATTACGTTACTTTTATAATTAACTTTTGTAAGATAATAAGAATTCTTCAAAACATCCTCGCGAGAGGCATCGAAAGTGCGACGTTATAATTTTATTTATTTAGTCGGTGTTGAAATCTTACAGCAAATGTGATAACTGTCTTCATGTCAGCGAGACAATGTTGTACAAGATATATTCGGCAAAAGCGTAGTTTTCTTTGCAAAACTACGAAATAGTTCGAACGCCAATGAATCTTAATTACCACGTAATCTCAACGACGCTGTGCATTTTCAATATGGAGGCGCTGCAATGTTTTTTCTATCGCGAGCGAGAAACATGATCAAATTACATATACGTGCTCGTTCTTCTCTATGGTCGATACGCTCGTGTACGAGCGGAGATAAGACGGCGAGAGAAACACATAAACATTCCAATAAATTAGCGTTCAGCTGACCCGGGACTGTCGCCACGCCGCTTTTTCCTCGTGCACTTGGAATCGATCGTAGCATGTCGTGACGCGACCGGTGAAAGGTCTAGTTTGATAAATTTGAATCAGTCGTCAGACGAAGAAGATTAAAATTCGGAGTACTCGTACTACAAGATGCGATGAATGCATTGAATGATTCGAGCAGGGTTATCCGGAATATTGATAATTACTTTGTTTAATCGCGTTTCCGGGATGTATTCGCTTATAAGTTTCGTGAATAATTGTGGTTCAAAAAATTTTGACCTGGCCGACTTTGCGCGATTTTTGCGCAAGCGAAAAGTTCTGATAGCATGCGTAGACGACTAGTTACAATTCGATAACTGCGTAAATTATTGTTGGACTTTAAATTAGCTCATATTTGAAATGTGTTTTATGAACATATCACAGTTGGTTTATTTTTAATTATAGCAAACGTAGACTTTGTGACCGCTAATAAAATTTTACTCTTGAGAAAAAAAATGTTTCAGTTATAGGCCCGTGTAGCTCGTGAAATTTTGCGTATTCCAAGCGTCATGTCGGAGTGGGTAGCCTTTATCTTTGGCACTAATGTCCATCGACGACCCGCAACGCGTGTCAACAAGCTTGATAAAAATTCAATTCGCTCTTTACGTCATTGTCGCGATCGAGGACTGCCGATAAATTTTTGCCGACTTGTGTTTCAAAACCCTGCTTTGCCCCCGCGAAAAAAAAATACATGTAACAAGCAGTCACGTATTCGACAAGAGCTAGGGGAGACGTTCCTTCAAAGGCGAAGCGGCTTGAGCCGGGTTGACAACAGTGGAATCTATACTGCCGAGTGTGTGACGCACTTCCGGCGGAGACTGTTTCATATGCAAGGAAGCGATCGGGTAATACAGCTTGCTTAGCATCCATTCGCTCTAGTCGTGGCTGCGCGATCGAGGTCTTCCTTTGCGAGGACCTACCGCGCCGGCCTGCGGACCCACGCCGCACCGGAACTACACGCGCGAGTTCTACGCGCTATTAACGGGCGATAGAGACGTGGCACCGCGACGTAACAACTACACCTGTGCCAGCCGGAAGATACGAAATGATAGTCAAAGTCTTTTGAAAATAAAATTTTGCTCTCACTTGTTAACTTTAGAAAAGACCCTTAAAAGGTGCGAATTGTAGAGGCAATTAATTTTTTACACCCAGATAGACTAATTTTTTTTTTTCGTAGAATTATGTTTATTTCACTAATGCATGTCTACTCGGAAAGTTTCGTGCGCGACGGCGACACACCCTGTTCTCGCGTTTCTTTCCTGTTGAGGTGAACGAATTCGCACGACGAACAAGAAAACTTTCTTTGACTCGTAAAGCGCGCGCGCGCGATATTCCTTTTTATCAAAACGTATACGCGTGCATTTTTTTAACATAAACGTGCACGCCGCGTAGATAAAAAATTACTTTTGCATTTGCAAAAAGAAAAAAATATGCTTTACATTAATGTTGTATTAATGCTTAAAAGATAATATAAAAGAAAAGTATAATATTTCATGGATTTCTTATCGAGGTATCGTTGGAAAATATTTAAATTTTTGCTTTTACAATTATCAACAGCGAAAGCTAGCTTTTAAGTATAATTAATATTCATTTCTATTTATTCATACTTCTGTGTGCGTTACCACCTTGTACCACTATGTACGTATGATATTTTATATTTTATATTATAGTTTCCGAGCACGCAACTTTCTCTTTACAGATATCTTTTGCTGTGTTTAAGGAAGACAAGAAACTACTTGATTTTTTTGCGATATATTATGTCGTTAAATGTAAAGCATACATCTTATACATAATTAATTATTTTAATCACTGTTATTATTTGTAACGCTACGCTACTACAAATTTTACCTTTATTTTCAAGTGTATAATATACACACAACGCGCTACAATTAATCTTCTTTTCGACAAACTAATCTCATTATGAGTTACAAAATAATTATTGTTATCCTCGCGAATAGTGTAGCGAGGGAATGGTGTGCAAAATGCGGCGGAGAATTTTGGTAACGTCCGGCCCGGAACTATCGCTCAAATCGGAATCCGGAGGTGCAAAGGATCTCCGACATTATGCACGAGCGTGCGCGACGACCACTTAACATGAGCATACAAAAAGCCAATAATGCAGCATTGGCATGCACGGCCGCGAGGTCTCGGGATCGTGCGGGTTAACGGTCCCGTCTTTCCGGCGGATTGGCCCTGCTTCCGGAGACATATAGGGTAGACAATAAGAAAGCGGCGACCGCAGGCTTCTCCGTTGTACGAACAGGCCCGCTTACGTTGACTCGCGCGTTCTATGTCCGGCATCGTTGTGAGTGATTGCCGATACGTATTATTAACTGTGTCCGTACAACGACATCGGTGTGCCGGCACGCGCTTCGAGTCCCGAATGAGTCATTCGAGGATCTCAGCACGACACGTGAATCTTAATGCCGTGCGAATTCAGTCAGTTATGAGCGAGCGCTCGTATACGCTTCTCGATAAAAAGTAGCTTTCCAAGCATTATTCATCAACGATAATATCGTTAAGAGATATCAATATTGGCGCAACGTATTTCTACTTTGTTTGTCGATAATTACAGAAAGGCGAATTAACGCATCGCGGCCGAAGGTTTGCGTATTCTTTGAGGCAAAGGCTGGTTAGCGTTATCATTTGGAAATTAGAGCCTCCCCGACGGCAGCATCCCCTCCGTTTCGTCGCCGATAGACGAACTTGAAATATCCGCGGCTAATGAGACGAGGCGGGGCCGGTGTCCCGCACCCTTCGGTGCCCCGCCCGTGAGATACGTCTCGCGTGGATGATGTACGGCCGTTTAATGACCCGGTTTCGGTCCTGGGGGATGGTTTTTGCTCGGCCGGTAAGGGGTTGAGGGGACGTACCCGGGTACGGAAAAGTCAGCGACACTCGTTTTTCGTTAGAGGGAAGGGTCGCGCGAGCGCGCGCGCGACTTCGCTCCTTCGACAACATGCAGATGACAGCGATTCGTCGAACCGCGTGACAGGCAGCTCGCGGAATGCACGCCGCTCTTTTCCCATTAGGCTTAATGGACGTAGATTAGTCCTGCTCCGGCTATATGCGCCAGGATTTAATGACACGGCCGCACCCCTCTTACCGATACCGCTGTCTTCTCGTGACAGCCGAGCGGACACTGTCGAAAGAGTAACGCGCTGCTGCACTGATTGCGAGCAGATTGAAAGGTTACATTCCTGGTTGTGAAACTATCAGTTTCAGAAACGCGTCAAAGAAGATTTAATGTGAGACCGCTAAGTCGAAGCAATGAGTTTTCACCGAGAATTACTTTGGTTAAACGGAGTGAATAATTCATAAGAACATGTTTCGATTAAGCGATCCGGAAATATCAAGTAGAAAAATCATCTACATGGTAAAATAAGTATAATGTGTGATTAATTATTCAATTTTTTTCAGCGTTTTATATTTTACGGAACGTTTCTTGTATATTAAACTCCTGATCTGCTAAGACAATGGTCTTTCTACTTAATTTTATTATATATGAAACGCGCATTTATTAAACGGCGTACTTCGAGTTGCTAATTTAGCAAACAGGAGAGCGAATGTTCGGGTCTGCTAATTAGCGAGGAGCGAGCGCCAATTCGTTTCTCTCAGCCGCGTATCTTTCCGCAAAGCGCAGAAAGCGTGGTTCAATAAATTCTGTCAGTTCAACGATAACGGCCGAGCAGCGGAGAGCAATAATCTTGACGGGCAAATAATTCAGCGTGACTTTAATCACAGACGGCGGAGTTAGAGTGCGTTTCACGGACGGATTTAAGCGATCGTATGACAAAGTAGCGCCCCGTGTATCATTTTGTATAAACTCGATGATATTCGCCGGGACAGCCGCAGGAATAGAGCAAGAGAGAGAGAGAGAGAGAGAGAGAGAGAGAGAGAGAGAGACTCATCGCCGCCGTTCTGGCGAGACGCACACGCTCGCCAGTACACATATCCGGCGAAGTTTACGATCGATCTGTCACGCCGCGACCAACTGGTAATAAA